GTTCTGGAGAAAAGTTTAAACATTAAGCCAGTATGAGCCAAATCGCAATTTTTAATTCAAGTATAGTTTTTTTAAATAAATATAATTATTTTTTTAATAAACATTTTAGGTAATTGTTGAATGTTATACATAAAATATGAGAAAAAAGACATTTCTTTTTTTTTACTCTGAACAGTAAATGAACTTTTCTTTCACTTAAAATAATGAATGTGATTATTACTTAATGTTAAGTCTAATTCTAATGATTATTTAAATCTATTTTTTTTTAATTTGCATTAAAAACAATATTTTTATATACCATCAATTATTAAATATGATTAAATTAATATTTTTAATATTTTTAAATTAATAATTTTAAATAATTTTAACTCCGTTTCAATTAACGTATTATCACTCTATTCAGTTCTTTTACTGTGCAATTTTTATCTGAAAAATTTTTCCTCCGAATATCGAATAACGTATTAAATGTATTAAAACTTGATTTGAAGCAGATACATTCTGTAATTGAAGACTTCGGTACGTTTTGCACAAGGCAGGAAACAGAGAAAGTAATAAAAAAAAAAAAAAGAAAAACAAACACTTAAAACGATATTCGGAATGGAATGAAATCTTTTCAGAGCAGCTTTGGATACGTGTTCAGTGCTCATACTCGTGTGTTCACATGCGTGAGTCTCTCTCTCTGTCGCCACACGACGATGGAACACCAGCCACCAGGTCGCTTGCGCTCAAACTGAGCGACAAGTGCAAGGTACTGTTGTGTTTTATAACTCATTATATTTATATACATATATATATAAATAAATATACATATATTTGTATATATTTATATTTATTTATTTATAAATATAAAATGATATATTTCTTTCTGGACGGACTTATACAAATGAATAAGACAGTATTTATCTATCTATGGTGTGCGTAACTTAGTAATTCCAAGCGAAAGATAACATTAAGTAAATTTTATATGTTAATTTTCGAATTCTGAAATTTTACTTTTAATAATTTGAATTGATTACAAAAGACATAAAATCTGTGCTTTTCAGTAAATTTTTTTGGAATATAAATTAAAACCTTAAATTTGTGGGAATCATTAATGTCATTTTCAATTCATTTTTACGAATAAACTTAATAATATTAATATCGTACAATAGTTGATTCCAATGCATTGTTGCAATAGTTAGAATATAGTAGTTTTCTTATCTAACTGATGTGCAATAATGATAATTGCATGTAAGATAATACAATAATATTAAATGGGAGATTATCAACTTATCATTAAACAAAGAACAAAATTTTATATTTTATATTTTATTAGTTACAAGTCATTAAAATATGTATATACTATATTTGATATAGCAAATTTTTAACTAAAATTATCTATATTATTAAATTTTGCTTAATTTCTAGTTGATTTTCTTTTTATGTTAAAGTAGAAATAAGTAACGAATTAAGTATTGTAAAATCAAGATATTGAGATATATTATAACTTCGATGTTCAAGTTCGTCCAGCATGAAATACTTTCTTTTCTTCGATGAATTATCGCGTATATAAATTTCTTAAACTAAAAGAATTTTTAAAAAGAAAAGTATCAAAATTTAGAGTAGTGTAAAAAGCCCGTGCACCACTCCGGACCAGAGTTTTAAAAAAATTTCTATTTACTTATTTTCTAAAAAAAATAAAAATTCGATCTACACTACACGATAAAAGATTGCGATTACTTGGTTCACACAAAGAAATGGTTCGTTGATATTTATGTAAATATTAGTTTGCGTGTATTTATAATACATTAACAATTAGTAATTACTAATAATACGATTAAACAGAATAAGTATTATGAATGCATAACATCATTGTAAAGTCTATTTTTAGTGTTCTCCATAATAGAAACATTATCATTTGTTATATCTCAATCGAACATAAACTAATTTATATATGATTAGCATTTTGTAGAGGATATATAGTTTTTATTTGATTTAGAATAATTTTTTTTCCTTTTTTGCTTTTTTATCGAATATGCATTTTGAAATCTGTTAACGTCAATTTGATCGATGAAAAAATTTTTACGTGCACATGCGCGAAGATTCATGGTCAATATCAGATTTCTCGTATACACGTTTTAACCTCGAAGTTTTACGTAATCGTGCGCAGAAAAAAAAATATTGAATGTTCATAAATGGTCTAATGTAGAAAACACTTTGTAAGATGAGATATTTGAAAAATGACAAATTTCCAATATAAATTGAACAAGTATTGATCTTCACTATCAATTATACCATCGTTTTATTAATAATTTACATTATTACATAACAATGAATTTCATCATAGATCGAGCATGAGTTCCTATTGATTTATTATTTATATAAATGAAAGTGAAAATTTTATAAAAATTATCTTTTCAAAAATGTATTGCAAGTAATTCTAAAAAGTATAAATATGATATATTACAAACTATTTGAATATAAACAATTGATTTAAATTGTAAATCATTAAAACTTTATTTTGTTAAAATTTTTCAGTTATGTAACTTTATTTTAATTAACAAATATTTTTTTATATTTAATATAATATATACATGAAAGAAATATTTAAATTATTAGCATAAAAATTACTAGAGGTAATCTAAATTTCTAAAAATGAAAATGTTTAGATTTATCATATTTTGTTAAAATGAGAATAAATAGATAACAGTAAGTTAGAAATCACAAACTTTCTAGAAGCTAATCTTTATTGTTATTAACATAATTGTACAATTACATTTTCTTGATATACTGTTTGAACTAAATATATTTTAATATTTGTTTCAGGCACAATACATCTTGAAATAACAAACGGATCTACTGCGTGGTTTTTTCTCAATGTATTTATTGTAAACATGAGCATTTTAATAAAATTGAGATATGAATGTATATTGCAATACAAACATCATATTATACTAAATAATTTATGTTAATTATTTTTACTATTTTATTATCTGCTTGATTTTCTAATTTATATTCAGAATTTTATAATATTAATATTTCTTTTTTCATACAATTGAATTATTGGTTACAATTACAAAATATCGCATTTTTTTACCAAAAAATTAAAATTTTTTAAACACACAGTAAGATTGTTTATTATGTTTTATTTTTAATTCTTTCGTTTAAATTTCATATTGTGAAACTAATTTTGGTGTTTGTACGTAAAATGCTATGGTAAATATTACTTCAAAAATTTTATTAAACGCATGGAATATTAAGTTTACAATAAATGTTAATATAAAAAGAACATTAAAATAATTAAAATATCAAAAATTACTTAACATTTTATGCGAGCTTACTTTGTTTACCTTTCCGTTCGCGCCACGATAGCCGTCAGAAAGATACGCAAGGTGCAGTAATACTGCATGTATACAGATCTTTCTTCATATGTATTGTATATTATACAATCTTATTGCAATCTGTATACTATTATGCTTTCTCTTCAGTCAGTTGCTTTTATTTTATGTCTGGTGTAATCAGAAAAATTTTTTTCTACCTATGATAATGACAATGTCAATACAAGACGGATATAAAAGAGATTCGAATAAAATTAGCTTTCCTAGAAAACGTCACAGAATTATGTTATTTTTTTCATCATTAGAGGACGATCATTTTTGAAGAATGGCATGATTCCCGAAAGGGAATCAACCAAAAATTATGCTTTCACTAGTCAATCTGGTTTCAAGATTGAATATGAATATACAGACACGTGCAACAGTTGAAGGTTGTTATAAACTTTTTGTGATAGATAAATTATTTGAGGAAATCGTCAAACGAATTTATATGCATCACAAAAATTGGCGGAAGAAAACTCGCATGTTTGTGCAAGTAGACTGTGACAAACAAAAATGAAATGAAAAGATTTTTTAAAAAAAGTTTAATACCAAATTGTATATAGAATAAAGTGTGTGCGTGTGTGTGCACGCGTATGTGTATATAAGAAATTATATATACATATATATACAAAATTTCTTATACACTTGTATTCTTATTTATTCTCGTATATGTGTGTGTGTGTGTGTGTTTGTGTGTGTGTGTGTGCACGCGCCACACATACACAAAATATTTCATAAATGCCTTAAAATTTAAAAGCAGAGTAATAAATAGTAAATAAAAATTCTGTATCAAATATGACACCATTTTATATATATGACATATACTTATCTAAAAATGTATTTTGATTTTGTAGCATAAATTACAACCGAGAAATAATTGTTAAATATTCTTTATACATCTGAAACTAAATATACATATCTTCATTTTAGTGAATAGCATTGTGCTTCTTATTTTATAAAAATTATAATAAAAGTAGCTACAAAAAATCCTGACAATGTTATATTAAAATGTTATTGTTTAGAAAGTAATGCAGGAAATTCATAACGTATTTAAATTTAAACTACTTAATTAAATTCGAGAAATATGAGAATTAGAATTTTACTATTCATAATTATAATTATAATTGTATAATGTACATTATAATGTACATTTAATATAAAAAACCAAAATACTTTGCGCTTTAAAAATTGAATTAAAATGAACATTTCTCTGTTAATAATTATTCTCTATTTAAATTAAACCTACAAATTATATAAGGCTTATTAACAATATCTCCAGTTTGTCAATTCGTTTTGTAAATTATTTGAATGAATTTGATATTTCTTAATCAATATTTTAATCATCTTAATAATATTTTAATTATTTTAATCTAATTTGTAATTTTGAAGTATACATGTTGTAATTCTAGAATATTAACTATATCATGAGCATGCAATAAATCAAATTAATCTTACTATTTTAGTAGATTTTTTTTATGAACCACAACTACATGCATTATATAATTGTATCTTCAAACCATAGGTTGTGAATTATAAAATCATAGATTATATAAACTAAATGTCTTACAATTATTAAGATATACTAATTATATATATATATAATGTTATACATGATGTACAAAGTATATTAAAAAGGTATTATAATTAATCTTCTTTATCAATAGCTTCAATTCTTTCAAGAACTTGAGGATGGTTATGATGCCAACTAGAATACAATTTATCATGAAGGGGATAACTAAGATTATCCTTATGTAACTTAATTAAAGAGCTTTTTAATGCTTGTCCATGTCCCAAAGTTTTTGCAAATTTATCTGCCTCAAATTCAAATCTTCGTGCAAGTATATTTGTTACATACTGGAATAACTGAAAAATTATAAAATATTATTTTAAATGTCGACATGATGTTATTCGACACAAGTAGAATATTCATAAATTAAATACAAATTAAAGTATTTTATACAATTTTATTTCTTATATACTATTCTTATAATATTTTGGAATTTTGTAAATCAAAAATAATGAATTCAACTTACTACATTTGGAGGATTTGAAATATACATAGTAATAATAATAAATCCTATAAATGTAGGTTGGACATCCACAAATCCAAATGCTTCAAATATAGGTTTATAATTTTCAAGTTTTGTATATAGAAAAATATTCAGCAATAAATGCAACTGCAAAGATTTTTATAAATTAGAAAAAATGAGATGTGTTATTATAAATAGTCTAAAAGTTTACCTGGCCAAGTATAAATCCTTTTAATGTGTGACTATGGTTCCAATGTCCTAATTCATGTGCCAATACTGCTAATACTTCATCTGTAGTACAACCTTTCGTATCTATTTCACCTTCTGCTGGTTTATAATATTCCTCGACTAAAGTATCATAGAGAACAATTCTTTTATGTTTGTAAAAACCATAGAGATATGCATTGCTATGTGAAGATCTTTTTGAGTTTTCTACAATAAATATTTTATAAAGTGGATAATTAATTGAGGCTGCTAGCGCTTCAATCTTTGTTTTCAAATCTCCATTTGGAAGAGGTGTGTATTTATCAAAAAGTGGTGCAATTAGTTCTGGGTAAATAATCATAAGAAAAAGGGCAGCAACTATTAAAAATATCCAAAGATAAAGAAAGCAGTAGTCTTCTCCATTTTTTATGATCCATATTACAGCACACAGAAGAGGTATTGTAATGACTTCATGTACAACAAATTTAAGAAGCTGATCTTTGATAAAAAATAATGGTGTCTAAAATTAACAATTTTAAATTAATAATACAAAGATGAAATTAATGATATAAAGATTTTCTATATATTAGACAAAAAATGTTGATTTCCTCGCCTCTTTATTAAATCCATGTTTTTGTTCCAGGATAAATGTAAAATAAATCTTAAATGGCAAAAATATTATATCATAAGTAGTGTTTATGATGAACATACAAATAGCACTTATGAGAATTTCATTTGTATCATCCAAACCACAATATTTGACTGTATCAACACTCCACATCCAAAATCTGTGATAGCATAAAGTTAACAAATAGACCTGTAAGTATCCAATGCTTATAATGTTATATTTATGGGATTTTATTTTAAATGTTATATTTATGCAATAAATCAAAATTTCATACCATAGTACAAAGTTCAGAAAATATACTCTCAAAATCATTAAATGCTAACTTATCTAGAAAATAAATGCGTGCTTTTTCGTAAATATCTTTTGTCATTAAACCTTCAACGGATTTAGGTAAATCAGTCAAACGAGTCACAAAATCCCTCTAGAAAAAGAAATTTACTTATATACACAATATAGAATTATTTCTACAAATTTAATTTTTTAATAATTTTATAAACTAAAAAATATAATTTTTTTTTATCATTATTATAAAGTTAAACAGAAAGATTCTTTAAATTTTTTTTTATAAAAATCGTGAAATTATTATAACAAATAAATATTATAAATTAATAAGATAAGAATGTTTAGAAGAAATTTACAATATTTACCTGACGAAGATTTAAATAATATTTCCAAAGAAATAAAAGCCATGATACAGCTAAAATTTCATAAAGTATATTTTCTTCAATAAATTTTACAAAATTGGACATTATTTTGTAGTTAATAAATCAGAATTCTTATTTCTGTATTCTAGCGTGATTGCCGGTTTACTGAAACAAAGTTGGGTACAATTGAGGTTAGTACAACACCATATGCTATTACATATATGTATTATTTATTATTATCTTATAACATTAAAATTAATATCATAAATTTTTCTATATTAAAGACATATCTTTAAATGCTATGAATTTTATTTAAGTCGAGAAGTAACAATTTTCAATTAAAACTATCTACAAATTTAAAAAAATAACAATAAATATCGAACTTTTAGTAACTTTATTTTAAAAATGCAATATCACTATGAAAGAAGTCAAGTTGGAAATATGACTGAAGTTTTGCAAACAAAAAATAATACATAATTGTCAACAAACACTATATGTATGTATTTCCTTACTTATAAATTATTCTTCTTTGCATAAGCAGAAAGGTTATGAACTTTGTACAACGAAAGATATGAGGAATATGATAAGCATATTATTATAAAATATGGCGCCTGAAAGAACAAATGGTATTAATGGGCCTCAATTAAAAAATGTACCTAACAACGTAACCAGGTATGAGTTTTACATAAAAATCGATTTAAACTAGTACTTACAACATAATATTTAATAATTTATGATAAATAATCGAGTAAGTTATGTGTTGATAAGACACAGGTATCTTATTCAAAAGAAATAATAAAAATCATTTTTTATCTCAAATCATGAAAAATTCATAAAATAGCATTCTTATTCCTTACATTTTATTCTAATCTATAATTTAAAAATAATTTGTAATTAAATAATATTAAAAAATTTAACAAATACTTTTCTTTATTTGATATCATATGATTTAATATCATATAGTATTATCACTTTAAGTAAAACAATTTTATTGCAGTTTACCAAGTGGATCATCACTGTTTCCTTCTTCAAGTCTTCAACCAGGAAATCCTCCACCAATACCTCCGCGTCAACCAGTTCAAAATTATTCTGGATTTAGTGATCATAGGCTATTTGGATCTAATTATGGTGGATTTGGAGGATATGGTAGTCAATATAGAGGATTTAGTGGATACGGGGGATATAATTCATATAGTCCCTATTCTACTTATAATAATAATTATGGAATGTTTGGTGGACACAGTGGTGATGCTGAAAATAGGTAAGTTTATAATGCTGTTAAAAAGAATCTATTGTAATGTCTATTTTTTTAAAATTATATTTAATTATTCTTACATGTAATATGATGTGTACTTTGATCATATCAAAATGTACATTAATCATATTTAAGTTTTCACGTTGATTTTTCATATATTGTTGAATAATAAAAAATTTTGTAATTCAATTCCTAATTACAAAAATTCTACATTTTCAAATATAATTTATGATTTTCATAATTGTTATGAATATATATATATAAACAAAATAATACAAAAAATAAAAAATTAGTGCAGTTTTGATTGAAATAATGAAATAAGTATTTGTTTGTACTTTTTCTAGATTTTCCCAATATGTTGAGGAAAACACTAGATCAACTTTTCAGTCATTTGAAGCAGTCCTTCACACATTTTCATCCATGACAATGCTGTTGGAATCTACATACTTTGCTTTAACGAATTCATTTAGAGCAATTTTAAATGTCGCGGAAAGTATTGGAAAATTACGCTCTATTTTAAATCAGTTATTTAGTACTTTTGCTTTGATTAGATTTTTAAAATGGTTATACAGGAAAATTGTACACACTACTGGTAAGATTCAGTACTATTTTTTAAATTTAGATTTTATGTAATATTTAATACTAGTATAAAGTAAAATATTATGTTAACTTTATTTTTTCTTTATAAATAAGAAATTTACTATATATTTTAGTATTTATTTGTATATCTTTTAAATATCTTTCTAGGTTACCAAAATCAAGATTTAGTAAATGAAGAATTATGGGATAAATCATTAGCAAAAGTTGGAAATGAAAATGTACATAATTCTTCTTTTTGGTCTGGATTTTTAATGTTTAGTGTACTTTTTGTAATACCTTATATAATTCATAAAATTTCAAACAATATTAGAAACATGCAAGTAAAAGGTATTAAAACATAAAATATGTTAAATTGCTATTTAAAAATTATATTACAAATTTTTTATATATGAAATAAATCGACTATAAATAAGAATTTAATGTTTAGGAAAAGATCCAAAAGAATGGCAAAAGATTGAGGAACCTTCATATATTGCAATAGTGTTATATGATTTTGTTGCAACTAATAATGATGAACTTAGTGTAAAAGCTGGTCAGACAGTTTATCTTGCACCGAAGTCTCTACAACCAAAAAATTTACCAGGATGGTGCAAAGCTACCAATAATGTAAATGTTGGTCTCATTCCTAGCAATTATATTAAACTTATAGGACAATTGAAAAAAGTGAAAAAAAATGAAACAACCATTGTAAATGAAGAAAAGTCTTCTGAAAGTGAACATTCTACTGATAATGATAAGAAAGATATAGAGCCTATAAGAAATGATAGAACTGTTGAAAATGAAATATGAGCAAATTGGTTTGAAATATTTTATAACTTTCAACAATATGACATCATTTAAAATTTTTCGAAATTTCATTTTTACTCTAACTTTCATTTTTACTTGTACTTAGATTCAATACTAAAGAAATATTTGCAAAAAATTATATGGGAAAAGAAGTTTATTTATAGGCTAAGCTACAGATTAATTTATGATCATTTAAAATTATGTCGCAAATATAGAAACAATGGTTTCTAATCTATATATCAATTTAAGTTATAAAATGATCACATTTTCAGAAATTAAAATTTTATTTAAATTAAAATGAGAAATATTTAAAATTTATGTATTATAAGATCCAACTTACTACTATTCCTTTTTTATGGGTATAATAAGTGGAATTATTAGTATATATATAATATACGAGACTATGTAATATTTGTATTTATACTAAAGTTCATAATAATGAAACTTCTGATATTCAATCTGTCCTGTTGTTAAATTTGTATACAGTTTTTTATTTTAATTTTTATTTATAATAAATTGGATATTTAAATTGTTCGATATTGTTCTATTTGTTACATTTAAAAAATTAAACATTAAGGAACATTATAGTTATATATACAGCATATTCCATTAAGAATCTTAAATATCTTTGTTATTTTTAGAAGAAACTTTGTTAATGAAAATTGTTCAGTACAGAGGAGATATTATTATTACCTATATTAGGTAATAATGATTTTTTTTAATAAAGAGATTTCGGAGGTTTTAAAGTCACTTTCCATTTTTCAAATGAAATATATTTGTCATATAATAAAGTAATAATTAATAGTAGTTAATAGAACTCGACATACAAAAATAAATATTACCTTATATATGTTTAAAAATTAATAATTTAGGAGGTATTTCAACTTCAATTTTATAAAATTTATGCATGAAAGACAAATACGGTATGAATACAAAAATATTGCCTCCATCTTTTCCTGTCAGAATTATAGAATTAAAATTAAAATATCTCCTAAATCTAATAATTTTTCGACGTTAATTAGGTTAATATTTTTTTTAGTCGTCAGAGAATATCGTATTGCATCGATTAATGAATCAAAAAATATGATTCCATTTAGAAAAATAGAGATGACCTTGAAATATCTGAAATTATACTAAAAATTAATTATTGCCATTCATGCAAAACATTCTTTGATCATAGGAAATTTGTAAAAAAAAAAATACTTGCAACATACTGTTTTAAAATTTTTTTTTTTTAAATAATACTTACCATAGCAAATAAAAATTTCGAATTATAATTAAAAGTAATTTAATTAAAATGAAAGAAATGAAATTGATTTTTAAGGTACTTCTAAAGAATTTACAATCATTTTCACATAAAATACTTTATAGATATAAGTATATTGAATATGTGTGCAATAAGAGTTTGGACACACACACACACACACACACACACACACATATGTATGTATATGTTTATATATATATATAATTTACAATTTCACTTTCTCTCTCTTTTTAACAGTATTAACAACAGATTCTACAGTCTACACAACAGATTCTTAGTTTTTTTTAGCGTTCTAGAATGTCTTGTTAGAAAGGGAACTAAAATGAAAAGAAGAGAAAAAGAAAATGTGAGAGGAATTTTTTAATCATTGAATTTGCGATTAGGATTGGATCCAAATAGGGCAGAACGTATATCGGGTGTTAGTTGCTGTGCTATTAATTCTAATCGTGTTTCCAAAGTATTGCTGACTTTTATACGTCCTAAAATCAAAGTGTTATGGATTATTTAATTTAATTTATTTATAATTTATAATACAACGTAACTTATTAAAAAATATACATGATTTATTTACCTCTTGCTGCAAGTAAATCAACACCACCACAACTATCAGAAGGAAGGAAATTATCTTGATCAATTTTAACTGTAACATCCTTTTTTGTTATTTGTTTATAAGCATCCTGAACAGAATCAAGAAGTGATTCTACCAGAGGAAGATCTATTTGACGTACACGAATAATAATGTGGCTTTCTGTTAACTACAAATTAGAAATGCATAAAAATAAATTTTATAAACATTTATATCTCTTCTATAAAGTAAAAAAGTAAATAAAAATAACATTAAATGTTGTAAACAGGAAATTTAATTATTTTAAATGTAAATAGTCTTATACCTGGCATAATCCTTGTACAATTAATAACTTTAAAATTTCTCTATATCGTGAAATATCTTGTATTACTTCTCCCAATCTCTTCCTAGCTTCATCAAGTACATTACGCACATGATCTTCTCTAACCTTCAGAACTTTTAGACGAGCCTGATTCAACATATTGGATGATTGACTGTAAATAAAAAAAAAAAGGTGAATTGAATAAAACTTACAACATTTACATATAATATTAAATATTATTAAAGATTATAATAGTGATATTAAACATACATCTTTTTCTGAAGTTCTACTTGTTTTTCTTTCTTTTCATAATATTCCATAATTTTAAGCCTTTGTTGTTGAACTAAACGTCCTTTTTCAATATTAAATTCTTCTTCTGCTTTAGCATCAATTTCCTCTGCTTTTTCATTGGCTTCTTGCTCAATGAAAGCCATCATGTGATTGATCTAAAATAATAAAAATTACAAAAACATATTAGTAATAGATATTAAAGTAGAAGTAATACAGAATTAAATTCATCCGAATTTTCTAAGTTTATTTTTATTTTTTATAAAAATACAAATTTCTACCCGTATGTATACATAAAATTTCATCGATTGAATTTAAAGTGAATTTTAAACATATTTCTAAATAAAGGAATAATAATACTTTCAAATAATTCTCAATTTTCTGCTTTAAAATTACTATTTTTGGTAAAACTTCAGTTCAAACGAAATTGCTACTAAAATCATTGTTATTTATATAAAATATAAATGAAGTTATTTAATATGTATCTTATAACAGAAATTTATATTAAAGCCATTTAATTTATCTATGCTTAACCGTAAAATGTTTAAATCATTATTTAAAAAAAAGGAGAATTGTATGAACAAAAATTTCTCAAAGAAAAGTGGCAGAAACAAATATTCTATTCAAGCGACAATACAGAGTAAAATGCAAAAATAGCTTAAAATCGATGTTCAAAAAAAATTCGCAAATATTTCTGTTCAAATGACACTTTACCTGTTTCTGTACATCTGCGTCGCTTAATGCCATTTTGAAGTTCAAAGATTTGCCGATCTTTGTCTAGCAATGATCTTTCAATTACTTTTTGAATACACGAATTCTAGATCGAATTTTTCGAGGAGTCAACGCCTACTAATGAAAGTATCTCCAGTTAATGATGATCATATGACACAGGTAGTGTGTTCGTAAAATTGATTCATTTAGTTGAAATGTACATATCATGGAATGTGTTCACAAAGTTATTAAGATTTACTACTTATTCATTCGAACGAATGTATATAGTATGCTATATAGTATACTATATAATTGTAATTATATTAATATAAAATTAGTAACTTTAATGCAAAGATACATACGTGACTTATATATAAATATGATTTACATAAATTTTTAGAACAATATCTCTCTAAATTGAAAACTGAAACTCTCAAAGCAAGCAAAATTTTTTTTTAGTGATTTTTTTAATAATTATCTTTAATTAATAAAATTTAAAACTATCGTAGTTCGAACAAATAAATTATTAATGAATTATCATTCATTACAATTTTTGCATTGTATAGTTTGAATTACTTTTGGCCAAGCGGTGTATTTAATAAAAAAGAAAAAAATTGAACTTTAATAATTTTTCCTTTTCATAACACAATGCGTTAAATCGGCAAAAACTACTGGTTTGCAAAATTAATGCATACATTCGAAAATTTCTATCTTTTATTATGCGTGACATTTCGATAGATTTCAAAAGTTGAATTAACTAGCCCGTCTCTAGCGTGCGTGTTGGTGGTTGCGTTTCGTACTTTTATAAGAAAACATTGTTCTTAATTGAAATTTTACACACTCTTACAATTTAATAACATAATTCGCTGTAAAAGTCAACGCATGTTATAATAATTGTCAAACGAGTTGACTGTCAAGTAAATTTCAAAAAAGGTAAATGCTTCGTCGACTCTAACCTAGTAATGTACATGCTGCTTTCCTTCATTTGATCTATGAAAATCATTAACAAATTGATTCTATTAGCGTTTTAATTTTTTGTATTACTTTCAATTGTGTCTGGCAATTAGTGTGTTATTAATCTTCTATGTTTTCTTCTGGAACTTTCATCGTTGTTTATTATACATTCAGTTTTTAAGGTTAAGTTACTAGTTTTTAAATTTAATGTACAAATTAAAAACATGCAGATATTAAATAAACATCAAAGTCGAATTAGTTTAATAATCGACTACTTAATCAAAAGCAATGTAAATTAAGTTTTCTTTCTCAAGATGACAAAATATACAAAAATTGGTTGATCAACTTTTGTTGTATAATATACATTTGCCGAAATTGAATTATTTTATTTTTGTTTGAATTGATATTTTATTTTCATCAATTTTAACTCGTTTGAATCTTATTTCATAAAGGAATAAATTGAAAGTAATAGAGTTAACTTTATTTGTTTATTTGTTGTAAATGTATGAATGTAATATATTTGTATGAATGTAATTAATTTATAAATTATGTACTATATTATTATATCATTAAGTTATATATATTATTTTATGTTATATATTATATATTACATATATATACTATTTATATTATGAATATATTAAATATATTAAATATTAATTATATTTATATTATGAATATATTAAATATTTAATTATATATATTATTTTATGTTATATATTATATATTATATATATACTACTTATATTATGAATATATTAAATATTTAATTGAAATCTTTAAAAACTAATGTATTGTTCAATATATATGATATAAAAATAATAAAATTGTACTAGTATAATTATGAAATTAAGGAATTGGAGAATATAACAAATTATTTGAAAATATTAGAGAAATTCTTTATGAGTCTTGCATGTGTATGCGTAATTAAAAGTGTGCTTATAGGATAATAAAGATGTCAAGTGCTGATACATTAGCAGAAGTAACAGACGTAGTCCAAATTCTGAGACAATGGGAAGAGGAACATTCATCAGCTACATATGATCCAGTTCCAACATTACGAAGACTGGCAGAAATTATAGAATTAGAAACAGAGAATTATTTGAAAATGGATCCTGACCCATTTGATGAAAGACATCCATCACGTACAGATCCAGAGTGCAATTTTGGACATATATTGAAAGTATTGTTTAGAAAAGATAATTTTATGACTAAGGTAAATTTAATATTAGAAAAGAAATAATATAATTATAAATTATTATAATATAAATGATTATTACATAATTTATTAATCTGTTAACAGCTTATAAATGATTACTTAAGAGACACTTATTGGTCACGTGCGGGAATTACGGGTCGTGATGTTAGAAAGCTCAATATTGCAGCTTGTCGTCTTATGCTTGATATTCTTCCTGGTTTAGAAACTTCTGCAGTATTTCAGCCAGATATGGAGGGACTTATTCATCGTTTGTTTTCTTGGGCAGAAAAAAGTGTAGAACCCTTACAAAGTTATGCAACTGGGCTTGTAGCTGCTGCGATGGAAGTTCAGGAAATTGCTACAGGTTTCATTTAATTTTAAATAAAATTTTAATTATTAGTATCAATATTTAAAATATGTAATTTAAAAAACAATTATTTGTTATTTTTATTAAAGGATTTAGAGAACAAAATGCAAAAATGGTACCTCTTATGCTACAAAGACTTCATAAACTAAAAGAGGAAGCTCAGGAAGAAAGACAACTTGCAACTAACAATAGACCATTTGCACATTTTGGCCAAGATAGAAATAGTGGAGGAGATGGAGAAAATAAAGGTGTGCCTGGGAAAAGAAAAGTAAGAATGACTCAATGTATATATAACAAAATTAAAATTGACATTATTTTGTACATATTATGCATTGCAATTTTATTTAAAGGTAAGAGAAAAACGGAAAGAAAATGAAATTCTTAAAAATTCGAATCATGGTAATTATTTTTCTGAAGAAGAAGAAGATTGTGCTCAGTCCTCTGAAGAGTCGGCTCCGTTACCTAAAAGAAAGAAAAATAATGCAGAGTGTGACACTACTGTAAAAAATAATACAGTATATCCAGAGATAATGTCTCCACCTTTGTCTGTGCCAAAAAATTCTAATTTAAATAATCAAGTAACACCATCCAAGGCACATAGCACGCATAATAGATCATTGAATGTTTCTTCTGTAAGGTGTAATTTACAAAAAAATTCTTCATCTTCAATGCAAAGTTCCACTACATTATCAACATTGTTAGAAGGGAATTCTAATTCTTCATGGGCAGAAATGGAATCATATGTCATTGGAAATATACAAATGCATCCTCCAACATTAGGTACAAGACAAATGTTAATACTAAGGTAAAGATATTAATTTCATATTTCACATTATTTTCAAGTATTTATTAAATGTACATTCGTATTTTGTGATAGGTATCTTACACCAATGGGTGAATACCAAGAGTTCTTAGGTCATGTATTTGAACAAAATGCTTTGGAACTTATTTTGAAATATATCAATGTTAGGGAAACAAAGGATAGTCGCTTAGCATTTGAAGCTTTAAAATATTTAGCTTCTCTTCTTTGTCATAAAAAATTCTCTATTGAGTTCCTTAGTGTCGGTGGTCTACAGAAATTATTAGATGTTCCAAGACCCAGTGTTGCAGCTACTGGTGTCTCTATTTGTTTATACTACTTAGCATACTGTGAAGATGCAATGGAAAGAGTATGTCTACTGCCAAAGCATGTTATTTCAGATCTTGTTACTTATGCATTATGGCTTCTAGAACGAAGTCATGATTCTGGAAGGTGTCATGCAACAATGTTTTTTGGTTTTTCTTTTCCATTTAAAGTGATACTTGAAGAATTTGATGCACAGGATGGACTTCGAAAACTTTTTAATGTGGTAAGAATTGTTTTAAATCACTTATAAATTTCAATATTCATTTAACATTTAATATTTGTTTTTTTCTTTTTAAGATATCCACATTACCAATTTTAAATATAGAAGAAGAGCCAGCATTAAATGATGATGAAGAATGTGCTTCTAGACAAATAGTTAGGCATGTTGCAGTAGCTTTAAAACGATATATGGAAGCCCATTTACATCTTAAAACAGAACAATTACAGAGAGCAGAAAATGTTAGAGCAGAGCGTGATACATGGCAACCATCATTACCACCTTATAAAGCTGTAAAATTAAGTAGTGAAGAAGTTCAAGCAAAGGTATAAATATTAAAATTTAAGTCACCAAATATTACGTAATAATTCAGTTTAAAATTAAAATTGCACATGGAGTGATTATCAATTGTAATTAATTATTTTTTACTATTTCTTACATAATATTAAAACATTAGTGATGTATATACCATAATATTTATTTTTATTAAAGATGGAAATATTTCTATAATGTATATACCATAAAATTTATTTTTATTAAAGGTGGAAATACTTCAAGAATTAATGTCTGTAAGAGCAGTATGGCCGCCAGTAGAGGAGTTATATCGTCTTGGAGGCATAACACTTCTTCTACAGATTATTGCTTTTGCTAGGGAATGGAATTACAGTGGCAGGGTTCATACAACTTCCAGCGCAGAAACGGTTCGCTCTTGCTTAGACGTAATAGCTATTTGTTCTGTAGTGCCAAAAGTGATGTTATTACTTTGTGAAAGAGTAGACATGCCTGATATGTCAATGACAATGGCAATTAACTTACTCTTAGCTGCAGCGGAATGCGAAATTATTGCAGATCCTGATGTACAAAGGGCTGCGCTAAGAGCTGTAATTAATTGTGTCTGTGCTCCTATAAATAGGGTAATAATTTATATTAAATAAGTATCAAACAATTGAATAAATTTAGAATGACTTATGTATCACAATTATTTGTTTGTTTTTTTATTACAGATTGGTGGGAATGTTGCAAGATATTCAGTAACAGGTTCTGCTAAGAAAAAAGCAAATAATAATAGTGAAGAATTAATACAAAAAATTTGGGGAAGTGTTAGGTCTAATAATGGAATAATGGTATGTATGTACATATTTTTTGATAATTACATATATACAAAATTATTTTATCCTAATAAATGATAATTATAAATAATTTTAATAAATTTTAATATTTCTATATTAAACACCATTACATTTTTCTTAATTTAACTTAACTTTTTTCTTTATTTTATAGGTTTTATTACAATTGATGATGGTTAAAACTCC